AGATTCACACAGGTCATTGCATTTGGTCTAACCTGACCTCCACTTGAGAAAGAGAGACGTGGGGAGGGGCATGAGGAAGAAAGGGAGGCCAGCGTGGCCCTTGACTCAATAGAATTTCCACCAGGCCCCACCTGGCCTTGAGCCCCCATCTGCTTTGCCTTCCTGCTTTTTCCCAGAAGAGAAATGTGCAAACACGGCAGTTTCCAGATGGAAGGCAATGTGGACAAGCACAGCTCTGCATGCAATCCCACAGTCTGTGCAGACATAGTGGTGAGCCCTGGCTGAGCCACCCAGCAACACAGATGAGGAACCAGAAAGCCAGGAAGAGACACAGAGATCTGCTCAAGGTCACACAGCCAGCCAGCAATGGACCAAGACCAAAAGGGAAGTCCCTTGCCCCTTCAAAGAGTCCATCTCCAGTTCTATGTGGATGGTATGACAAAATCAGCCTGGGACACTACTTGCAAACTGTAAAGCACACAGCCATGGCAGAGAGGACCCTGGCTTTGCGATGGCCTGAGCAAGCCAGTGGGACAGGGAGGACTGCAATGGGAGTAAAAGCACATCTGACTTTCTGAGTGCTCCTCCAGTTCATTTATCCTGGCCTTTTCCCAGAGGCCCAGGCCGCGGAGTGGAGGAGGAGGGTATTAAATATCGGAGAGTTATTTAAAAGCCAGTTGCTCACCCCTCCGAAGCAGAGCGTGGCCTCTGCTGATTCAACGAAGAAAATGAATCTTGCACCGATGGATTTTCCTGTGTCTCCAGGCGATGGGAGAGGGGGTGAGGAATGGGGATGGTGAAGCCCAGAGCGAAGTCTTCTCTCCTGGCCAGTGCCGAGGCAATGCAGGGGGAATGAGTTGGGACCTCCCTCTTCCCACCACTGAATGACTCATCTTCACCATACCAGGGCCACCTTCGGTGCCTCCATGTGTCTCAGAGGAAGGAGGACAGAGGGAAAGAAGGAGCGGCCACGAAGCAAGCCTGGCTCTCAGACCGGGCAGTACCCCCAGACTACCCTACATCACTGTACAGTTGACGAAACTAAAGGCATACCTGGGGCAGAGTCAAGTTCAAGGTCACCCATCAGTAAGCAGGAGCACCAACCAGAAAATTACAGTGGCACCTCACCCTCCCAGACCCCAGTCCCTATAAGAAGTCTGGACACACAGGATTGAAGGGCAGTCTCCCATTACCCCCTCATACCACACACACACACACACACACACACACACACACACACACACACACTTCTGTACCAGCGGAGAACATGAGGGCTGCAAAGGCGCACATTCGCCCAAGGGCCTCTGTGATCTTGAGACACCTTGGATGGCAAAATAGAGCTACTGTCCCGGAGCAGAGAAGCTTGGGCAGGTCCCTCTCTGGGCTCCCTCCCAAGGCTTCCCCGGATCTTTCAGAGAGCAGGGTCTGTCAGAGAAGAGGGGCCCAAGGATGGGCAGCTAGAGGTTTAGGGAGGAGACAATCCTTTGAAAACTTAGCAGGGCTCTGGGGCTCAGTGGGTTAGTGAAGAAGCAAGGTCCAGTGTGGCTGGCCCAGGCACCTCTCCCCTGGGCATGACTGGGTGAGAATGGGGGTGCCACACACACATGCCCCTGGCCCTAAAGAAATTTCCAAGGATTTGAGTTTCTCAACCCCAGGCTCCCCTGGGGGCTGGCCCCGGGAACACACATGCCCAAGAGAGAGAAAGCCAAACCCAGCTGTGTGGCACTGCTACTGCTGCAGAGATGTGCAGGAAGCCCAGGGCTGGGCAGCCTTGGCAGAAGCACTTGACCTTCCTGTGTGGTTGCCCCTCAAGTGAAGCACAGTTAGGGGCATGGGACCTCCACCAGCTTCCCCGCAGGCAAGGGAAGCTCAAGTCTTGGACCCTGGAGTTTTCCAGTTGGTTAGCATTCATTCCCTCATGCCTTCTGTGAGCTGAGCAATCCAGAGCTGTGAGTCCAAGCAGTCCAGAATCCGCTAGGGTCTCCAGGGCAGGCAGTCCAGGAGCTCAAGGCAGTACGCAGACAACCAAGCAAAAATCAAAAGGAGATAGGAAGCCACAAAGGCTTCTTGGGGAGCGGCAGTACTCATGCCAAGCCTAAGGGACATAAGCTGGACTGCAGAGTCAGGGGAGAGACCTCCAGGTGGGACAGAAAGTCCAAGATACATCCACTGGATACATCAGAGAAGAAACACAGCCTCGGAATCCACTTGACATGCATTTATTGAACAGTGTGCTGAACACTGGCAATGCCGAGACAGCAAGAGCAGTTCTTGCAGAAAACGGAGACTTCCCCAAACTCATAGAGCTAGCTCCAGGCAGCTGACACTGCCGTGTATCCAGGCAAGCTGTGAGAGGCTCCGTTTACTGACACCCACCACCAATGCCCTATGCAAAGGAAAGAAGGTACATGACATAGGAGCCAGCTTAGCTCCTGAAAGGGGCAGTGCCTTACCTGGGGCCAACCGGTGAAGGCACAAGGGGTGAGGGGGTGGATGTCAGGTTCCCAGACACCAGGCGATGCGGTTTTTCTTCTTTCCAAGCATCTTGAATTCACTTTAGCACAACATTGGTCTTGAAAGAAACACACTGGAGGAATCTGACGGTACAGAGGCAGAAAGAGAGGTCTGAAGTCACTCAGGCCAGACCTTGACACCTATTCCTGATTTCCACTCGCCCCCTTGGCCATCACCACCTCTGCCCCCAACCTCAAGTCAGGCTGAGACTCCCTGCATGCAAGACCTTGTCAGACACAGGTTTCTAAGACAAGACCAATACCCACTGGCTTTGGGACAGATCCCTGGCCCTCCAACCTCCACTTCCCCTACTGGCACAGCACACACAGCATACGCTGGCCTCTTGCAAGCATCCTTCCATCAGCCCACAATGACTCATGCACTCTGTCCTGTGCAGGTCAGTGTCATAGCCCCAGCTTGTAGCTGACAAGGGTTCCAGCTGACAGCAGAGCCCCACCCCAGGGGCATCTACCTGAGGCCCCCACCTCCCTGCCAGATCAAGGGCCAGGTGCTCTTGTCTACACAAGGCATGTGGGCTGGTGCCAAGTGCAGTGTGTCAGTGCTTGTGAGCCTACACACACACATACACACACATACCTGGAGGCCCTCAAACATCTGCTCACATGCACCCATGGATGAAAGAGCCTGCACATGCCTGCGGAAAGCCCACCTGGAACCATGCATAAGCTCTCCCAAGCCTTCCCATGTACCTGCACGCACAGCCAAGCAAGCATGAGGCCGTGGGCTCACACCTCGCCTCTCCACTTACACACCTGTGGGTGTGTACATGCCCACGTTTGCATCTCCTACTCGCCCGGGCCAGTTCCTGGGAAAGACAGGAAGGAGAAAGGGGTAAGACAGCCTTGGGTGGAGTGGGTGTGAGGACCCTCCAGCAGCCTCAGCTTTAGGCTTTCTATGTTGGTTCTGGTCAGTGCAGGGTCTGCCTCTTTCTTTTAAGTGGCATCGATCTATCGGTGGACCTGTTAAATATAACCTCGGGGAAGGATTCACCAGACCAGCAATGTTCAGTTCTGGAGAGAAAAAGTCTGGCACCTGGGAGAGGGGGCCCGTCCAGCCCAACGGGCTCTGCTGATACCGCAGCGGCCTGCAGATCAAGTGTCAGCTTCGCGCATCTGAATAATTCATGCCAACGCCAGGAAGGTTCCCTTTTCAGAAACCCTGTCTCTTTAAATCAGGTCTGGAGCTTCCCAGTTCTGCAAATAAATAAATATGTCCAGAACAAAACAAACCTATCAACAACCCAGTCCCCCACCCCACAGCCTAGGGCCCCTCTGAGCCCACTCCAAACTGTGAACTTGGCTGCTGTGTTGCCATCCTCTAGCGTTGCCCCCTCACGCCCGCCCCAGTTCCCAGCTTCCTTCCCCATTCACCACTTACAGGTGGGGAAGCCCAGAGTGCAGCAGGGGCACGTTGGCAGTGTGCCGGTGGATCTGTGCAAAGGTGCTGGGGCAGAAAGCTAAAGCCCAAAGAGCTGATTCACCACCCAGCCTGGGGTCCTGACTCCTAGCAGAGAGCTCGGGAGGAGACGAGCCTGTGGGACGGGAGATCTCGGGGCAGAGACAGGCAGCCAGGGGTTCGGGGTGCGAGGTGGGAGGGGCCGGTGCTGCATCCCAGGGGAGAGGAGGGTGGTCGCACCAGACGGCTGAGCTGAAGGGAATCGGGGTGGCGCGGGAGGTGGACAAGGCTGGGGATTTTCCAGTCCCTGATGCCAGGCACTTGGAATCGGCTGCCCAGTGAGTAACTTTCTTAACCCACCCCTCACGCCTGCCTGCACGCCTCCCCTAGCAGGTGAAGGCAGCCTTAAAGTCCTCCACCCCCTCTCCTCCACCCCACCCCCCAAAATCATCGATTCCTGGGGCGGACCCACCTGCCTGCCCTCCCCGGCCAGGCCCCGCCCCGCACGTGCCCGAGAGCCAAGACTCAGGAACCAGCTTAAAACACGGGGGTGGAGGGGCGGCAAGTCAGCACCTCCGGGAGCCAAACTTCTCAGCAGCCCCGGAGACCGGCAGGCGAGGGAGAAAGGGGAGTGAGGGGCGCGGCCGGCGCTCGGGGGCCTCCCTCCCACCCCGCCTCCCTCAGGCGAGGAGGGCGCGGAGACTCCGCTGGGGGCGGAGGAGGAGGCCGGGAGGCGGGGAGTGGTGGGGGGGAGGCAAACCCTGCCCACTGGGCTCGGAGCCCGGAACGGCCGCGGAAGTCGGAGGCCGGCGCAGGCCGAGGAGGGCACGGGGGTTGGGGGGCACGGCTCCCCGCCTGACCCCTCTCACCCCTCCCCGTCACCTCAGCCCAGCCCAGCCAGAAGAGTGAAGGCTTCTCAGGCTTTCGAGACAGCGGACAAATCAAAGGAGACCGCCAAGCCGCTCCGGGTCAAGGACTTGCCCCGCCTGTGGCCCCCCTCCCACACACCAGGCGCTCCCAACTCACTGGTGAGCGCGGTGGCCCGGGTGCTGGATGCGGGGGCGGCTGCGATGGCCCCGCGCGCGGGACAGCCCAGGCTCCGGCGACCGATGCTGCCGGGGCTGCTGCTCGTGGCGGCGGCGTTGAGCCGGCCCGCCGCGCCCTGCCCCTTCCAGTGCTACTGCTTCGGGGGCCCCAAGCTGCTGTTGCGCTGCGCGTCGGGCGCCGAGCTCCGGCAGCCGCCGCGGGACGTGCCGCCTGACGCGCGCAACCTCACCATCGTGGGCGCCAACCTGACGGTGCTGCGCGCCGCCGCCTTCGCCGGCGGGGACGCAGACACGGCCGGGGACCGGCAGCAGGAGGGGGCGGCGGCGGCGGCCACGGGCGTGCGCCTGCCGCTCCTGACCGCGCTGCGCCTCACGCACAACAACATCGAGGTGGTGGAGGACGGCGCCTTCGACGGGCTGCCCAGCCTGACGGCGCTCGACCTCAGCCACAACCCGCTGCGCGCTCTGGGCGGCGGCGCCTTCCGCGGGCTACCCACGCTGCGCTCGCTGCAACTCAACCAGGCGCTGGGCAGGGGCGGCCCGGGGCTGCTGGACTCCCTGGACGCCGCGCTCGCACCGCTGGCCGAGCTGCGCTTGCTGGGCTTGGCCGGGAACGCGCTGAGCCGCCTGCCGCCCGCCGCGCTGCACCTGCCGCGCCTCGAGCAGCTGGACGCGCGCCACAACGCGCTGCCGGGCCTGGGCCCCGACGAGCTGCGCGCCCTCGAGCGCGACGCCGGCCTGCCGGGGCCGCGCCTGCTGCTGGCCGACAACCCGCTGCGCTGCGGCTGTGCCGTGCGTCCCCTGCTGGCCTGGCTGCACAACGCCACGGAACGCGTGCCCGACGCGCGGCGCCTGCGCTGCGCCGGCCCGCGGGCGCTGCACGACCGGCCCCTGCTGGACCTGGAGGAGGCGCGGCTGCGCTGCGGGCACGCCGACGGGCGCGGGGAAGAAGAGGAAGCGGCCGGCCCGGAGCTGGAAGCTTCCTATGTGTTCTTCGGGCTGGTGCTAGCGCTCATCGGCCTCATCTTCCTTATGGTGCTCTATCTGAATCGGCGCGGCATCCAGCGCTGGATGCGCAACCTGCGAGAGGCGTGCCGGGACCAGATGGAGGGCTACCACTACCGCTACGAGCAGGACGCCGACCCGCGCCGCGCGCCCACCGCGCCCGCGGCCTCGCGCACCGCCTCCCCAGCCTCCGGCCTCTGAGCTGCTGCGAGCTCGCGCCGGGCCCGCTGCCCACCTCCATCGGCCTGGGACCTTGGCCTGGGACCTTGGGTACTCTGATGTGACTCCTGCTGGAAGGTTCCCAGCTGCACCCCCTCGCCCTGTTCCCAGGGCGCTGTCAAGCTCCAAGACCCAGCGACGTCCCACCCCCTCTCCGCTCCGGATTGCTGAAACCCTGCCGGCCCGCCAGCCACCCACCGCAGGTTCTGAAGCGGAGACCCCGAATGCACCCACTACCCATCCATCCACCCTCGCGCTAGGAGCCCCTTGCCTTGGGAGCTGAGAGTTCCCGGACCGCCTCCTCCAACCCTGCGCTTGGCGCGCCCGGACCACGAACCCTCACATTCCTTTCTGGCCTCAGCAGAAGGTTCCGTGGACTTGGAGCCCTTTTGTCGCTTCCCGAACTCAGAATCCTCCATCCCGCCGAGGAGGCCCAAAGCCGAGGATACATTCCATGCCCAAGCCTCCCTCTCCATTCATCCACTACCCCCCCCCAGCTGCGCCTCAGGCCCCTTCTGCTCTGTCTCCTTCCAGAGACAGGCACACCACCACCCCCGTTCTAGCCTTTGAGGAGATGTCTGCAGTATTCCTACCCGCTCCCCCAACACCCTGCTCATCCCCTTCTAATTCTCAGCTCTGCACCCCCATCCCAGCCTCACTCTCTTGTCCAGCTCTTAGGCTCACACTCCACCATCCCTCCCATTATCCCCTCCCGCACTCATTCAGGGGGTCAGGTATAGTGAGGGACCCAACACACACACACACACACACACACACACACACACACACACACCTTTTCCTCCCAGGAAGAACTTTCCAGTCCTCCAGGACAGGTGCAGGTGTTAATACCCGCTCCCCTCAACCACAGAGTCCTGGGCATGCAATGCTGCAGGCTCAGAACCAGGGTCACCCACCCACTGTGGCTCAGCGGGAACCAAGGAGTCCCTGTCCGCTGACATCTCTCCACCCAATTGTGGTCTGCCTCACCTGGAGGGGACCTGGCCAGCAGGACCCCTTTGCCCACCCCTGCTCTCTCAGGCACACGCCCTCCTGTTCAGGGAGCCTCAGCGCCCCGCCTTCTGCATGATCCCAAAGCACAACTGGTGGAGTGGGGAGGGGGCTGCCTCCCCCCACCTCCCACCCCCTAGGTCAGGCAGAGTGGCTGGCCTGAGCTGCCTCCGCACACAGGAAGCCCCCCTCTCTAGCATCCTGGCTTGAGGTCTGCCTTCCCTCCCACCGTCACGGCTGCTGCCGCCCAAGAGCCTAGATCCCCATCCTGGGCAATTTTCTATAAAGTCTGCAATAATTTCCTGGACTGGACCCTTGGGTGTGCTGCTACTGCGTCATCCGCGTTGCCCTCGCGGCTTGGGGGGAGGGGGGCAGTAACTCTGGGGGTGTGCTCCTGACAGACAGGAGAAGTGGGCTTTGGCTGTGCACAGACACAGGAGGGGCTTCCCTTTCCCAGAGCAGGAGATGGGGTTCCAACAGACAACTTAAGTACAGTCCTACATTTCGGCCCCTGCCTCCTTGTCCCCGCAGGAGATCCCTGCACGGAGTGACAGAGGCTGTCAGCCACATGAGGAGGGAGCCATCACTTCTTCTCCTGAATCCCCCAACACGACAGACCCTGTGTGTCCCCTGGGTGACACCGTACCCTCCTGGCCAGAGAGACAGAGGCTGAGTGTGTGAGAAGCAGCACTTAGAGGGGAGGTGTGGCTCCAGCATGTGGAGGGAGCCCGGGTCTCCCTGGGGTGGGGGTCCCAGCCGGGAGTGCTGAGGTAAGGGACTTAGCACTTGCCACATCCCCAGAACAGGGTCCTCACACCAGGGGAACACGGTAGGTGTAGGACTCTGGCAGCTTAGGGCCAGGCAGAGTGGAGACAGTGCAGGCATTTCCCTGTCTTGTTCTGGTGAGATGAGTTAGAGCCTCTGGAAGCAGTCCCCTCTGCCAGTGACCTTCACAGAGTTCCTGACGATTCCCTAGGGCAACACAGCTATGATTTCCCCCCACACAGTTAGAGGACTGTGTCTCTAAAAGATCCCCTCCCCAGGTCCAAACAGACGCCCTTTGGTAATGCAAGCCAAGTCCATGGTTTTATTTGCAGGAACTCCTGGCGAATAAAGCATGCTATCAGATGCAAGTTTGTTGTCAGCCAAAATCTCTGAAGATTTTTTCCCCCAAAGAGCTACTGCTAAGTATCAAGTGGATAGTTGTCAACAATTAATTGACCACTGTGTTCCCCTAGTGCCAGTCCCTGATGCCCATGAGATGCCAATTCTGGGATGCCACCCTCCTGGCTGTCCACCAGTAGCCTTTGGTCCCAGGGTCCCCAACCTTGTTGTCTGCTATGCAAATGCAGCCAGACATTCTCCCAGACCAGACAGGCTTATGACCCAGGAAGCAACCACGTTCACCCAAGGTCTGGAGAAAGTCAAGTTCAGGAAACCCTGCTCAGAAGGGCTCTGAGGGAGGGTTCCTGGGCAGCCTAGGCACACCTGCTTGGAAAGTCACTTTGCAGTGGGGTTTGAAGGCTGTGCAGGAGTTGGCAAAACAGGGAACGATTCCAAGTGTCGACTGCAGAAAGGCAAGGGAAATGTGGTTAGTCTAAGAACCATGGAGGAGCAACGATGACTGGTGGGGCAGGGCAGGGGGATCCGCGGCAAGGTGCAGGTGGTGGGCAGGGAGGTGTAAGAAGGATCGGCGGTCTCCCCGCTCACCACTGGGAATCACCACGGGCCCTGTGTCCTGGAAGGTAGAGGCCTTTGGGGCAGGCCTCCTCTGGAGCTAGAGAGAGGAATCAGACTTCAGCTGCATCCATGACAAGCCCAGACGACACCTTGAAGAAGGTGAGAGGTAGGCCCAGCTGGCCCTGCTCAGAGCCCCTCTGGGAGTGCCATGCCCCATGTACCCCCTGCTGCACTCCCGGCTGGAGACAGGCTTATCAGGCAGCAGCAGGGCGCAGTCCAGGACCCCACCCCTGTCAGTGCTGGGTTGGGCACGGCTTGCATCCAGCAACAAGACCCACCTCCTGGAGTGGAACCTCTATGACCCCTTGCCTATCCAGACCTGTTCCAATCTGGGGCCGGGTCCTGGAAGGGCTGTGCAAGTTTGCCTACAAGCTCAGCCCCCTTAACCCCCCACCCAAGGTGCCGGACACAGATAACGCAGCTGGGAGCGTGGTAGATGTGGTGACTTCTTTCCTGGACTCGCTGGCTGCTCTGACCTTGGACGCCCCTGCCTGCCTCCCGCTGGCTCCGGCTTCCTTCTGTCCAGGCTGGGGCCGGAGTCGTGACCTCTGGAGGCACTGCTCGCTCTCGCTGAAGTCCATCTCCTTCCTCATTAAGCCTCCGCCTGGCAGACTCCTGGCCCTAATTTATGGGCCTGGCCTTCCCCAGGCGGGTGCAGGGACCAGGGCAGTTAATGTTCCCGGGGAAATGCGCTTGGCCGCCCACGCAGTCCCTTCCGCCCCTCAGCACCGCCTCACTGCCCACACTCTTTTTCCAAGCGCTGACCCTGAGTCGTTTTACCAGGACATGGACAGAAAAACACACCGACCAACCCCTGTCGCCAACCCTTCACTAGCTGGCTAACTGGCGAAACTGAGGTGCCACAGGAGTTGGGGGAGGGGCCCACAGCTGGGGACTCCCCTAAGGTGGCCATCCAACCCAGCAAGCTTTGGGAGTGAAAGGGCCCACGGTTGCCATTGCACCAGGACAGGAATAAAGCAGGACCTATCAGGTGCGTGGGTAAGCCCCGAGAGGAAAGAGCGCCAGATGAGGCTGGCTCCCCTCCCTCCCCAGGCCCTCCCCACCAGCCATAAGGCATTCCTTGGACCTTGGTCAATGAGCTCGCCCACTCTGTGCCCTGTGCCTTTGCCTGCACACCACGCTCGGCTCTGAGGTGCCTGGTGCAGCACAGCCATACTCCCCCTCCTGTGGCTGTGCCACCCAGACCTTCACGTGTGCTCATCTGGCTCTTGGCACCTGCCTGGCACCTGATCAGAAGCCCCTCCAGCTCAGACGCAGAGCGTCTGCAAATGGCTGCAACCAGCCATCCAAAATGCAGAGACACAAGCCTCCCACAGGGCACTGTAGCCTCGTTCTCTCCACTTCTTGCTACTGGAGTAACGGTGATAGGTACTGACTGCATGGCCAGCTTCTTGCTACTCCTCTACAAACTGTGCAGATACAAAACAATGGAAGGTCTAGGATATACAGTCGTGCAAAGCGTAATTTACTCTTTGGCGGCTTCACTTTGCCTTTTTTTCAGACGATATGGCGTTCTGGTTCTCTGTTCAGAATGCTTGTCCAGGACCCTGTCTGGAGAGCGTTTGCCAGAGCCTGGCAGTCATTGTTCCCTCGCCTTAGAAAACAGGCAATATCTGCTGGCCGACGTGCGTCGGAGCCGAATCGGCTTCAAATCTGGCGGGCGGGCGCCATCTGCAGGTGGAGGCGGGAATGCGCTCTCCATTTAGCCAACAATCCAGTTGAGGATTGGAGGACCTACTGTGCACCAAGTGCTGTGCTCGAAGCAGCTGTGGATAATTTTGAGGAAAACGACAAAAGTCTCAGGACTCAACAAATGTCATCAGCATGAAAGAAAACACTTTTCTGTTCCTCCTGGCTACAGCTGCATTTCCCAGCACCCTGCATCCCCGTGAGCCATGGGACTGAGTTCTGGCCGGGTCACTGCACATGAAGGTGATCAAGACGTGCCGTCAGCTCAGCACATACAAACCATTCCTGCACCACCTTTTCTTTCCCACTTCACAGAGGATTCTCAGTTTGCTGAAGAGCAAGAAATCCAGGCTTCTAAAAAAGGGGAAAAAAGCATCAGCACTGTGCAAAAAGCGCCTGACAATGGGGGATTGAGAGCAAACTTTAAGAATAAAGTTCCTTCCACCCTTCTTTACGTCTCACAAATATAATCGACAAATGCCCTTAAAAGATTTCTGTCTTGCGATCTAGGAAGATCATAAATT